CTTCCCAGGATGCCACGTTCTTTCTTAAAGTGGCCTCCTTCTTTTTCAGGATGCCTTATTATTTCTCCGGATGCCTCTTTCTTTTTTAAAGTGGCTTCCTTCTTTCTAAGGATGCTTCAGTATCTCTCCGGATGCCTCCTTCTTTCTTAAAGTGGCCTACTTCCTTCACAGGATGCCTCGTTCTTTCTCAAAGTGGTCTCCTTCCTTCCCAGGATGCCTCGTTCTTTCTTAAAGTGGTTTCCGTCTTTCTCAGGGTGCCTCCTTCTTTCTTAAAGTGGCCTCCTTCATTCTAAGGGTCTCTCCTTCTTTCTTAAAGTGGCCTCCTTCATTCTAAGGGTCTCTCCTTCTTTCTTAAAGTGGCCTACTCCTTTCTCGGGATGCCTTATTATTTCTCCGGATGCTTCTTTCTTTCTTAATGTGGCTTCCTTCTTTCTAATGATGCTTCAGTATATCTTCGGATGCCTCCTTCTTTCCTAAAGTGGCCTCCCTCTTTCCTAAAGTGGCCTCCCTCTTTTTCGGGATGCCTTATTGTCTCTCCGGATGCCTCCTTCTTTCCTAAAGTGGCCTCCTCCTTTCTCGGGATGCCTTATTATCTCTACGGATGCCTCCTTCTTTCTTAATGTGGCCTCCTTCTTTGTAAAGATGCTTCAGTATCTCTTCGGATGCCTCCTTCTTTCCTAAAGTGGACGCCTTTTTTCTCGGGATGCCACGTTCTTTCTTAAAGTGGCCTCCCTCCTTTCCAGAATTCTACGTTCTTTCTTAAAGTGGCCTCCGTCCTTCCAAGAATGCCACGTTCTTTCTTAAAGTGTCCTCCCTCCTTCCCAGAATGCTACGTTCTTTCTTAAAGTGGCCTCCTTCTTTCTAAAGATGACCCCTTCATTATCACGGTGGCCTCCTCCTTTCTCATGCCGGTCTCCTTTCTTCCCAGAATGCCTCCTATTGCAGCACATCGTATTTCTTTTGTAGGACACCTCCATATTTTCCTAGGTGGCTCATTCTTGCTTAGGCGGCCTCCTTCTTCCACACGATGCAATCGTCTTTCTCTAGAGGCCTCCTCGAGAGATCTCCTTTCATTTAGCATCATATTGTGTTTTAAAAAGGTTTCATCATACGCAGAAGTGCGATGAGCGTTGATGTTTGATGTTGAGTAAGATGTTTGTTAGGCCTAAAAAAGACGTTTGTTTCCGCTAACCCGACCGAGTCCATTTTAAACCGCCGAGTTAAAACTTTTTATTGTGATCAGCACACAAAAAAACTAAAAATATATTTGATAAAAAAAACTTTTGCCTGCCTACCGTGTCCAATTTTTTTAAGCTCGTTAGCGGAAACAAACAACATTTTTTCTTAGGCGTTAGTGCTGTTCGTATATGCCATGATATTATGCAGTTTATATGATGATAACTGTAATTGATTAGATGGATGGATATACACACTTTGACGTCACACGATAAAATCGCAGAGATTGATGAGTCAATCTCTTACTGTGACTGTATATAGAGTTGCTCTGTTGTAACTTATTACTGAGTATAACCGCATCTCAGGCAATGGTTTCGCACTGATCATTACCCCTGTCATGCCACAACCCCCCATACACACCCGAGTGTTTAGACCTACGTTGGTTTGCCATGCCCTACAAACGGCCCCATCAACTCACCTGACTTCTGTAGACGTACGTGTGTTGCCATGCCAAACGCCCCCTACACACGTCACCCCGAGCGTTAGAACCTTCACGGTCGCTCTCTGCCATCTTAAGTGCGTAGACCACTCCGCCCCCATTATACGACCACTCGCCCCTCGTTGTTGGTCGCTCGCCTTAGCTGCTGACGACTGACGCCGCTGTACGTGCCCATGCCGCCGCCAACACTGCGTACGCAACCCATACCCCACTTGACGGTCGTGCACGCCCCACCGCCCCTGCAGCGGCTGCTTCTCACTTTCGACTCTCTCTCCGTCGTTGTGGCTCTGCCAATAGGGCCCACCAGACCGAACTCCGGGTTCTGCTTCGGGTTTCCCGGCGATGCGAACCAGAGGTAGCTATATTCTCGCGTCCTTCGCGCGCGCCGACTTTTTATCCGCGTGCACACCTTAGTCTCAGTGTTCGTCTAGTCGCGCCCGCCGCTCGCCGCCACCTCACGCCGTGCGGCCGGCCCTCAGATCCGGAACCGCTCCGTGTCGCCGTTCGAATTACATACGTGATTGTCATCGACGGTGTCCGGATCCGTCGCCTGCAGGTGTCGCCATCGGGTGGCGAGAAAAAGAAAAAAAGAATCATTGCGGCGGATGGTGGAGCTGAGGGGTGGTTGTCGGGAAGAAAATGGCGGAATATGAACGTTACTTACCCGCCCGCCAGCTGGTATCGGTTACGACGCTTACCCGCCCCCTGGTGTCAAGATAACACTCACCTGCCCACTGGAGTCAACATGAACACCACCAGGTGTCATGCTACACTCGCCCCCCTGCGCTCGCTCGGCTTTCGTGTGAGCACTTACACGCCCCCTGGTGTCAAGATAACACTCACCTGCCCACTGGAGTCAACATGAACACCACCAGCGTGTGCGCAGTTATAAAACACTTAGCACGCCCCCTGCGTGTCGGTTGCGAGCCTACCTCGGCACCCTGGGTGACGACAGTAGTTATCCGTCCGGCCACCGTTTCTTCGAGAGCGCGGCGCCTGGTAGCTCCTGGTCGGCGGTCTAAATACGGCACTCGTCGACACTGACTCGTGACGACGACGGGCACGTGCACCGACCTGTATGGGGGTCAAGATCGGGTCAGAACAGGTCAGACGAGGTCAGGCAACAGAGGGTCCGTACGAGCCGTCAGTATACATGCAACGATGGTCAGATACTCAGGGTCAACCGAGCGTCAGAACAGTTCAGATCGGGGTCAGTAATGCAGGTCAGACGTAATGGTCGTAGATGGCAGAGGGGTGTAGGGATGGTGTGGCTTTCTGTGTTGGTCGCACGGTTACCAGCACCTCCTGTGGTGCTTACTGTCGCACTCTTCTCTCTCTCTCTTCTCTCGTCTCTCTCTCTCTCGGGTCTTCTCTCTCTTTGGCTCTCTCTCTCTTTTATCTCTGACTCTTCTCTTTCACGTTATCTCTCTTCTGCTCTCTCTCTCTCTCTTCCTCTCTCTGCTCTTCTTTCTCTCTCTCTCTCTCTCTCTCTTCCCCTCTCTCTCTCTTCTTCCTCTCTCTCTCTCTCTCTTTTCTCTCTCTTCTCTCTCTCTCTTTCCGTATCTTTCTTTCTCTCTCTCTCTCTCTTTCTCGTCTCTCTATCTCTGACTCTCTCTTTCCGTAACTTTCTCATCTCATCTCTATTCGCTTTCTGCTCTCTCCTCTCTCTCTCGTCTCTTCCTCTCTCTACTCTCTCTGCTCTCTCTCTGCTCTCTCTCTACTCTCCGTCTCTTTCTCTCTGCTCTCGTTTCTCTTCTCTACTTCTTTTCGCCCGATCACGAAGGGGCGACACGACGTGAATTTGAGAGCGGTACGCGTACGCCACTCGGCGGAATCGACATGATCCACATGCATTGATCCACATGATATCAACAAACACGCTCCGAGTTGGTTTAAAAAAATCGACTCGCTCGACAAAAATACGCGGACACGGCCTACACGATGCGAATTCTGCCAGCGCTAAATAATCCCGGCGTAACTTAATCGGCCGAACATCGGCTGTCGGACCCCGCGCTGAACGGGCACACGGCTGCGAATTTTCGAGCGATTTTAAAATTCGCGCGGATCGGCTGCGATAAAATACGCTCGTGTCCCCTACCATAACTCTCTATCTCTGTTTTTTTCTTTCACTCTCTCGTTCTTTCTCGTCACTCTATCTTTCTTGGATTTTTCTCCCCTTTTATCGCTCTACTCCTCCCCCACTCTCTCATTCCCTGACTCTCGCCCTCTCTTTCTCTCTTTCTCTCTCCCCTCCCGTCTCGCTCTTCTTCGCATCTCTCTCTTCCTTCTTGTTCGCCACGCGGGAGGGGGGGGGGGGGGGTATACTGACCTCGCCTGCGACTACCAGCGCCTGTCGACGGCGCGGTTAACCATGACGACGTGCTCTCTCTGCGTCTCGTAGTCTAGCGCCACTGCCGTGCGCATCTCTCCCTTCACAGCGTCAATCACGAACGGAGATTGTGACGAGCCCTCCATGATGACGTAACGGGAATGCGGCTTCCCCCGTGTCGACGTCCGTCGCCTGTCAATCACCGAGGAGAGGCGGGGCTTAGCGCCGTGGCAGCGACGATAACGAGGTTTGCGTTATCTCGTGAGAGCATAACGGGAGGGGGGGGGGATAGGAGTTACTTCTAGTGTATTCCTAGAAGTCTATCTATCTCTCCTCTTCTCTCTCTCTCTCTCTCCTCTCGCTCTCTCTCTTCTCTATATATACTTATATATTATATATACTTATTATGTCATAGTATAACGTTGCAGTTGCATCTATAATCGAATCCGGCGGCCCTCTGTGATTATACGATATTTACACGGTGTAATTTCATGCACGCGGGTTCGAACTCCCGGCAGCTCTGACCTGTCTATACGATCATTGACACGTGTGGATTCATGGACGGGGGTTCGAATCCCGGTTGCGGCATCTTGATTGTCTATACGATATTGACCACGTGTAATTCAGACGCGGGTTTCGAATCCCGGTGCGGCTCTGTGTCTATCCGATATTTATTCCGCCACGGCAGTGGAGGAGGTTAATGGGATCGCTCTCGTGTAGTGTGTTTAGTAGCGTGTTCGCCTGTTAGCTGCGATCAGATATTAGCGCGTCGAGTCAGCAGCAGGCGCCAGTCAGTCAACAGCAGCCAGCAGCGAGCGTTACATGTGAGCGAGCAGCCAGCAAAACGAGCGGCTGCTACGAGCTATTGTCCTGGCGCGATGGTATGCAATTCTCCCGTACATGTGCCTCTGTCTAGTACACGTGGATTGATGCAATGTCCTGGGTATCAATCCCGGCTGCCAGCTCCTGTGTCTATACGATATTACCAGGTGTAATTCATGCACGCGGGCTTTCGAATCCGGGTGCAGCTCTGTGTCTATACGATATTACCACGTGTAATTGATGCACGCGGGTTCGAATCCCGGCGCGGCTCGCTGTGGTCTGATACGATATTACCACGTGTGATTCATCGCACGGCGGGTTCGAAATCCCGGTCGTAGCGCCGAGAATTCCTGACTTGCCCGGAAATACATCGATATAGTGGATGCGGTATGGCCAGACTTGATTGTTTAATTCTTCATGGTGTACACAACTTATCGCTAACACAAAAACTGAGCTGATAATTGGTCGGGTCCTGCTACGCATGCGATACCGCTATCCTATTCATGTATTCGCACACCGTGCAGGAACTTTCTGCGGCCGACACCGGGTGGCTGCCGTCAGGCGTCGCCTCACCCGCTCACTGTTTCCGACGACGGTCGTCTCTCAATCCCTCGTTAACACTGAAGCTTGTAGATGACTCTCTTCAAACAGCGAGTTGTTATCGTTCTGCATCCAGCACGGCACCGTCACTGACACAGATGACATCTGTCGGGAAAAAGATAACTCAGTTAGGAATGATACTTCATTCTTGTTGAGACGCACACGGTCGCCGACCGCTGCCGCCATCTGTCGCAGCAAAATCAGATTAAACAGTAGCGAATCATACTTCTATTCTTGTTGAGGACGCACACGGGTCGCCGACTGCTGCCGCCAGTCTGTCGAGCAAACAGATAAAACAGTTAGATCAACTTGTGAGGACGTACACGGTCGCCGACCGCTGCCGCCATCTGTGCACGCAACAGCATAAACAGTTAGGAATCATACTTCATTCTTGTTTTGAGGACTTCACACGGTCGCCGCGCTGCCGCCACTCTGGTCAGCTAAACAGTAAACGTTAGGAATCATCTTGTGCGGACGCAGACGCAGTCGCGACGCTGCGCCATCTGTCGAGCAAACGATAAAAGTTTAGGAATCATACTCAGTTCTTGTGAGACGCTACACCGGGTCGCGCGCGCTGGCCGACCCATCTTCGAGCAATACAGATAAACAGTTAGGAATCATACTTCATTCTGATGAAGACTGCACACGGTCGCGACGCTGCGCCATCTGTCGAGCAAATATTATTAAACAGTAGGAATCATACTTCATTACATTGGTGAGGACGTACACGGTCGCCGCGCGCTGCCGCCATTCTGTTGCGAGCCCAAAACAGATAAACAGTTTAAGGAATATCTTCATTTTGTGAGCGCGCCACACGTCGCCGACGCGCCGCCATCTGTACGAGCAAAACAGATAAACAGTTATAGATCATACTTGTGAGGCGCACACGCTCGTCGCCGACGCCTGCCGCCATGCTGTTCGGAGCAAACAAGATAAACAGTTAGGAATGATACTTCATTCTTGTGAGGACGGTACACGCTGTCGCCGACGCTGCCCGCCATCTGTCGAGCAAACAGATAAACAGTAGGAATCATTCTTGTGAGACGCCAGGACGCGTCGCTCCCGACGCTGCCCGCCATCTGGTCGAGAAACAGATAACAGTTAGGAAATCATACTTCATTCTGTTGGGACATACACGCGTCGCCGACTGCTGCCGACATCTGTCGAGCAAACAGCATAAACAAGTTGAGGAATGATACTTCATTTTCTCTGTTGAGGACCGTTTCACCGCGGGTCGCCGAGCTTGCGCATCTGTCGAGCAACAGAATAAACAGGTAGAATCATACTTGGGTGAGGACGTACACGCGTTGCAGCCGCTGCTGCCAGTCTGTCGAGCAGCGCAAACAGATAAACAGTTAGAATCATCAACTAGGTGAGGACGTACACCGGTTGCAGGACGCTGCCCGCCATCTGATCGAGCAAACAGCATAAACAGTTAGCAAAATCATAGTTTATTCTTGTTTAGGACATAACGGTCGCCTCACGCTGCCGCCATCTGCGGGAAACAGCATAAACAGTTAGGAATGAATACTTCATTCTTGTGAGGACGCACTACGGTCGCCGACAGCTGCGCGGGCTGCGTCTCTGTCGATGTGCGCCCAGCAGTCAGTGTCAACCCGCTCTGTTCGTGCAAATAGATTCAACGATACACTAAAACTCACCAGTTATCGGCTACCGCCCCGCACACGATCCGCCTCACGAACGTCTACTAGAGTATTCAGCTAAACAATTTCGCTGTCCACTATTCCGCAAGTTCTCTCTCCATTCCCACACCTTTAGCAGCCTCTTCTTCTATTTTTATTATCTTCTCCTTTTTGCTATTTTCATCTAGGATAAAAGTACCCTCCGACTTGTATTTGCAGGACATGACGTCTCCATCAAAATTAAAGTTATATCGTACTGCTGAATCACCTTCTCAACGCGGGGGTCTTAGCGGCGCAATGCGCCAGCATGTTAGTGCCCAACACTCAGCTTACCGGCATCGTCTTTCTGTCCGTTGGCCCTCACCGACATGTGGTGCACGGCATAGCTTCTCGTAATTCTAGGGGGTGCTGTATAGTGGACGACGCCTGTGTCGCTATCGACCGGGCGAAGGTCCGTATTCGGCGGTAGATCTTCCGTACGAGACGGACTTGTCGCTCCATCCTACGCGGCTCTCTTCGCCTTTGCAATCCCATGATCAAACCGGGGAGCGTCCACGATGACGTGAATGTATGGTGACACTTGATATGAGTCACCATATATAGCAAAGAAGATTTCATGTAGCAACTACTAATCGCTAATCATGAGAGGATGATGATGATTGATGATGATTGATGATGACGACGACGATGATGATGATGATGATGATGACGACACCGATGCATGATATGATGATGATGATGGATGACGACGACGATGATGATTGATGATGATAATGGTTATCACATATGATCACCTTCGTCACCTGTATCTAATCACCTTCTCACCTGTATAATCTAATTCACTTCTCACCTGTAATCTAATCACCTTTTCACTGATTAATCTTAATACCTCTCCCTGTAATCTAATCACGCTTCTCACCTGTAATCTTAATCACCTTCTCACCTGTATCAATCACCTTCTCACTGTAATCTAATCACACTTTATACTGTAATCACACCTTCTCACCTTAATCTAATCACCTTCTCAACCGTGTAATTCTCAATTACCTTCTCACTGTAATCTAATTCACGCTTCTCACCTGATAAATCTAATCCCCTTCTCACCTGGTAATCTAATCACCTTCTCACCATGTAACAGTCTAATTACTTCACACCTGTAATCTCACCTTGCTACATGTAATCTCACCTTCTCCTGTTAATCTCACCTCCACCTGTAATCTCACTTCTCACCTGTAATCTAATCACCTTCTTACCTGGTAATCTAATCACCTTCTCACCTGTAATCTAATCAAATTTCTCACCTGTAATCTCACCTTCTCGCCTTAGTGATCTAATCACTCTTCTCACCTGTATCTAATCACCTTCTTACCTGTAATCCTAATCACGCTTTCTCACCTAGTAATCTCACTTACTCACCTGTAATCTTTAATCACCTTCTCAAACTGTAATCTATTCACCTTCTCACTGTAATCTTAATTCAACCATTGTCACTGCTAATCTAATCAGTTTTCACTGTAATCTATCACTTTGCTCACCTGTAAGTCTCACCTTCTCACCTGTAATCAAATCACCTTCTCATCTGTAATCCTAATCACTCTTCCTCACTTGTAATCTAATCACCTTCTCACCTGTTTAATTCTCTAGATTCCCCTTCGCCATCACGCTTCCTCCACCTGTAATCTAATCTACCCTTCCTCACCCTGTAATCTTAACAATGTAATCTAATCACCTTCCTCACCCCTGCTCAATTTCTAATCATCCTTCTTCACTGTAATTCTAATCACATTCGCTCACCTGTAATCTAATTCAACCTTCTCACCTGTAATGTAAGTCACCTTCTCACCTGTAATGTAATCACCTTCTCACTGCTTAAATCTAATCTACCCTTCGTCACCATGTAATATAATCACTTTCTCACCTAGTAATCCTAATTCAGCCTCTCTGTAGCCTGTAATCTAATCCATAATTGTTTTAACTGTAGCCTAGCCCATTTTCACCGGGTTATAACCTCGGCCACTTATCTTTGAGCATGCGCCACCTCCCTATCGTCCAGGCCCACTCTCATTCTGCCCCTATTATCTTCGCGCTCACCTCATCCTGTAATCCTTTGTGAGTCACGTCAAGCGCGTCTAGTTACCCAAACTCTGTTGCTTTGTCTTCGCTGCACCGCCAGCGGCTTCCGCTCGTAGTTGACAATTTCAAAGTAAGGTGCCTTGTTGCTGGCGGACCGGCTTGCACCGTCACTTCTGACGATCGCCTTAGCGACACCCTGTAGGAAGCACGAGAGGTCGCTCACCGATTTTCATCGGACATCGTCCTGTACGAAGAGCTCAGAGACGACTGGCAGCTCCGATATAAGCGAGTTACTGAGAAATCGTTTAAAGTCGCTCCTCTCGCGCCCTAGAAAAGATGGTTCTTTTTTGCTTGAACCTTGCAATTGCGGTATATTAGTTTTTTTTATTATGACCTAAAGTTCTGCCTCCTATCGTCCTACTTCAATGATTCCACCAACTGTCTCCACCTCTGGCTCCTTAGCTTCCGGTGATGTGCGGAATTTTACTCTAACACTCCTTTATTTAATACTAGCTGCATGGTACCCGCCTGCCGCTGCAAAATCGCTGCTTACTAATCTCATAACCACTAATTTATTCGCTCGACACCACTAGGATATCCTTGTCGCCTCTACAAATTATGCTCGGCAGCAATTTTACATTGCACACAATTTCAATATTACAATTATCACGTCTAATAACGATTAATTCACTAGCATTGGCTACATCGACAACCTTGGTTAGTATGAGGCATTTATATTTTTTCCACGAGCACTACTCCACCTTATGCGCGTTCACAGCGTTAGCAAAACTTTCCACCCTGCGTCTCGTACCGCTTTGTCCTACGAACACATGAGTTCTCGTAAACTTTTCTCCTTCCTCCCATTTTTCGATAAATTTCCCTCTCTCTGAACTTCGCGCCACACCAGTCCTCCGTTGGGCGGTACCTTACTT